AACACAATGATTGAAGGCAGAATAGCCCCTCCTGGTGGGTTTTGAAAAAAAAAAAAAAAAAACAAGGAAAGGGAAGTTGGGGGGTGGTGTCTCCATACAGAGAATACAAGCTGTGTTTGGGACATGTGGTCTGGTGGGGAGAAAAAGGCATCTGGGACTATGGTTTCTGTTTCCAATTTCTGAAAATCACATTGGCATTATTAAATGGTTGCTGCTGTTGTCTGTATATAGAATAATACAATGTTAATAGTTTAGAAATTAGTATAGTAGGCTATCCATATCAAGCAAGCAACATTTACTGTACATGTAGATTACATATATAAAACAAACCTGACTTATCTTTTTTAAATCAATGACAGTAAATCAGTAACAGCCCCTTAGATCCCTAAAGAGGTCCGTGAAAAGTCATCTTGAGACATTACTATAGGTATAGTTTATAATATAAATACTAAGCTGATTCTCTCTGGCAATGTAATTACATGTAACTGTCATATAACTGTCTATTCACTGTTTGAGAGTGCCATTGAATGTTTAGCTAATATAAAGTGGGTTTTCATGAAAAAAAAAATCTTAACTAAAATCAGAACTGAAAACAAACACTGGATTTAAAAATAAATTTTAAAAACTCCCAATAAATGTCCAAACAGTGATTCTACCTGAACATTTATTTAAGCTGATTCTCTCTGGTCTTTACTGGATAAGCTATTGTTTAGCTGTGTGGCCGGCTGGTCACACAGCTTGATTAGCTGAAAAGTGCCCAACATCCTCTAAAATCAGCCAAAAGACCAGGCTGAGACCAGCTACAAACCATTAAGATGTTTTCTTTTTTTCACCAGTGCAGGCTTAACTGAACTGATATTAAATTAAATATATGATGCAGCTTTTGAATACTATGGTAACTTAAACACTATCTGAATATTGTCATATGTCTGATACTGTGTTTGTGTGGACAACGTCTCATAAGCCGCTGTTTCTTTGCATGGCCACTAGAGGACAGTAGTGTCAACGAAGCGATATCGACAGCTTAAAGTTGCCTCATGATTCCTCATAAAACAACAATAAATAACATGCCAATGTTTGTGATTGCAAGTGTTCCGACGACATGCGAGTAAAGGACACGGGGTGTTTTCAATTATTTTATATTTTCACATTACTTTGTGAATTGGTCACCGATCGTTCGCAAATAAAGTTTGTTGAAATTTTCTTCTAACGTTAGTCCTTCCTGTTTGCAAAGATGGAGTCAGAGGGAATTTTAGCCCCGCTGTCACTCTCTGCTAAGTTTGAGGGGTATGTCTTTATGATCATATATATGCTTTGTTGCTTCACCGTTGACGTCACTGATATAGGCTACGGCGAGAAATGTGTCGTCTGTTTACGTGTCGTTCAGTTAGAATACATGTGTGCTGTATTTAGTCAAACAGGCAGTCTGACTATGGCGTTATTTTAATGACAAATGTCTCGGGTTTGCAAAAAAAAAAACAAGGAAAGGGAAGTTGGGGGGTGGTGTCTCCATACAGAGAATACAAGCTGTGTTTGGGACATGTGGTCTGGTGGGGAGAAAAAGGCATCTGGGACTATGGTTTCTGTTTCCAATTTCTGAAAATCACATTGGCATTATTAAATGGTTGCTGCTGTTGTCTGTATATAGAATAATACAATGTTAATAGTTTAGAAATTAGTATAGTAGGCTATCCATATCAAGCAAGCAACATTTACTGTACATGTAGATTACATATATAAAACAAACCTGACTTATCTTTTTTAAGTCAATGACAGTAATTCAGTAACAGCCCCTTAGATCCTTATGGAGGTCCAGGAAAAGGTCATCCTGAGATAGTACTATAGGTATAGTTTAAAATATAAATACTAATACTAAGCTGATTCTCTCTGGTCTTTACTGGATAAGCTATTGTTTAGCTGTGTGGCCGGCTGGTCACACAGCTTGATTAGCTGAAAAGTGCCCAACATCCTCTAAAATCAGCCAAAAGACCAGGCTGAGACCAGCTACAAACCATTAAGATGTTTTCTTTTTTTCACCAGTGCAGGCTTAACTGAACTGATATTAAATTAAATATATGATGCAGCTTTTGAATACTATGGTAACTTAAACACTATCTGAATATTGTCATATGTCTGATACTGTGTTTGTGTGGACAACGTCTCATAAGCCGCTGTTTCTTTGCATGGCCACTAGAGGACAGTAGTGTCAACGAAGCGATATCGACAGCTTAAAGTTGCCTCATGATTCCTCATAAAACAACAATAAATAACATGCCAATGTTTGTGATTGCAAGTGTTCCGACGACATGCGAGTAAAGGACACAGGGTGTTTTCAATTATTTTATATTTTCACATTACTTTGTGAATTGGTCACCGATCGTTCGCAAATAAAGTTTGTTGAAATTTTCTTCTAACGTTAGTCCTTCCTGTTTGCAAAGATGGAGTCAGAGGGAATTTTAGCCCCGCTGTCACTCTCTGCTAAGTTTGAGGGGTATGTCTTTATGATCATATATATGCTTTGTTGCTTCACCGTTGACGTCACTGATATAGGCTACGGCGAGAAATGTGTCGTCTGTTTACGTGTCGTTCAGTTAGAATACATGTGTGCTGTGTGCTGCATTTAGTCAAACAGGCAGTCTGACTATGGCGTTATTTTAATGACAAATGTTGAGAGCGCATTATTGTAGCGCGAAAGCACATTAATATAATGCGCGAGCGCGAATCTCCCCGCTTGCACGCGGATTTCCTTTGCTCTCGCACAAACCAGTTTCCAACCCTCGCAAGATAAATAAGCAACCTCAGCTTAAAAAAGACCTGCAACATAAACTGAAACCACTCTTTTATCTGAAAAGCAAAAACAGATATGTTATTTTACAAAAATCAGCAAACTGCAACAAAGTGAGAACAAAAAACTCATCTCCAATCACCAGTGAGCAGAATAGGTTTGGAGAGATGGAAAAGGAGAACAACACAAGAGCTTCAAAGGGGAACTGTAACATAGCCACATATTTATAGCTTACTAAAATATAGGCTATTCGAAACAAATGTATAGGCTATATAGTATTAGTATAGGACTACTTGTTTTTTATTACAGCCCATGATAATTAATACATTACAAAAACATTGTAAAAATTAGGCTAAAAGAAAGTCATCCCACTCCTCTACGTCTACTTCTGT